AAAATTAGATTTTTTTTGAAAAAATTTTTTTTTCAAAAAAAAGTAATTTTTTGTTTATTTATAGTTTCTCAAAAATCTTATTTTTCGAAGTAAATTTGTTTTAAAAATGTCAATCGTCGTTTTTAAAAAAATAATAATTTTTGGTACGGGAAGTTCAAGCAATTTGCCTTAAGGCACGATGCCTTAAATGCCTTAAGACAGAATTCCACTTACAGCTAGTTTTCAAAGCAATCGTACTGCTTTAACTGCATAGAGACGCAGACGCAAGAGAAGTATCGAAGCTCGTAAGCGCCGCGTCGCCGTCTGACGAATAAACATTGGTACGGAAACCATAGGAATGTAAATTTATACTTATTGTTAAAATCTCTATAAAATATCTGATAATTTGATGTGCATTAGTGCTGGATTTACAGTAGGGGCAATCGGGGCTACTGCCCAGGGCGGCAAATTTTGGGGGGCGGCAAAATTTGGATAGTGAGAAAAAAATTCTATACAATATAATCAACTTTTTTTACCAACATTTTGTTTTAAGAAATATAATAACAAAACATAATACAATTGCAATGCAAAATTTTGGTTGAAATAAACGACAACTAAAATTTATTATTTTGCCTTGCCTCCCTCTCCGAACGTAAATTATCAAATTGGTTTATAAGTTATAAAATTTGGCAATTTGGCTAATATAAAGATCCGTAAACAAGCTGAGAGTTTAAGAAAAATATGTTCTTCAGTTCTCGAGCCCTCTTAAAATGACGTATTTGTGCACTTCCAAGCTTATAGCATCGAAAAAAAATTTAAACTAGTGACTCATGGCATTGTGCCTTAAGACAAATTACTGAAACATCCCGTACTGAAAATTACATTTTATAAAGAGCTTTAAATTTTATTGAAAAATGAAAAAAAAGACTTCTAAAACACATTTTTTGTATTTTGAAATTTTTCGAAAATTATGAACTTTTTGCATAGCAAACGCGCTACGTAGCTGTTTCAAAGAAGAAATATCGAAACCAAATTACCATTTTTCGTAATTGTCTGTACCAAAAACTAATCAGCACGTCTCCCCATCAATACAAATCTAATATTTTTTTAATTATTCAAGTCGATTTCGAGAACACGGGCCAAAATGCCAAAAATGAATTCAGTTTTGAGAAAAAAAGCGTCAAATAACATTCAAACAATTTACAGAATAAATAACTGCTTAAATTTGTGGGGGCAGGTTTAGCGGTTTCGATGATCCAATAAAAAAATTGAAAAAGAAACATTTGACGGACAAAAGTGATCATAAGACATATGCACATTAAATTATCAGATATTTTAAAGATATTATAATAATAAGTATAAATTTTGTTTACATTTATATAAGTTCTGTAACATTGTTTATCGAAGCGATGCGGCGCTTACGCGCTTCTATATTTTGTCCCACGCAGCTAAAGCAGCGCGATTGCTTTAAAAAAAGTTCGAAAGTTCGTAAAATTTCAGGGATGGGGCGGCATTTTTGTCAGTGCCCCGGGGCGCCAAATTTCTAAATCCGGCCCTGTGTGCATATGTCTAATGATCATTTTTGACCGGCAAATGGCATTTTTTTCACTTTTTTTACTAGATCTCCGAAACCGCTAGACCTGCTTTCATGAAAATTTCATCAGTTCTTCATCCTTTTAATACAAGTAAATGTTTTTTGAATTATTCAAATCGGACGTTCCGTTCTTTTAAAAACTGAGTTACCGTTTTGGGCACTTTTTGCCCCATATCTTCGGAACGGCTAGACCTGCCTTCGCCAAAAACTAATCAGCACGTCTCCTTATCAATACGAATCGAATGTTTTTTGAATTATTCAAATCGCTTCATCCGTGTTCCCGAAATCGTCGACGAAAATTTGTACACACACATACATCCATTTTTTCTAAGGTATGCCAAAATGTTCAAAAGGTTTTGAAAGGTAAAGATATATAAAAACAAAATTTATACTTATTATTAGAATTTCTAAAAATATCATAGAATTTAATGTGCATATATCTAATGAATGACTTTTTTTTAACTTTTTTTTCTGGACGTCTAAAACCACTGGAATTGCCTTCATTAAAATTTCATCTATTCTTCGTTCAGTTAATACAAATGAAATGTTTCTTAAATCATTCGAATCGGTTAATTCGTGCACCCAAGATCGTGGACAAAAAATTGTATGCACACAAAACATACCTACACATACATTTTTTTCTAAAGTACCTATGACAAATTGTTGAGAAGTTTTTGAAACTTAAAGATGTGCAAAAATGTTAAGTTTCAGAATCAAAAATTGTAGAAATCTTTGCAATACAGTAATTATCTATTTAATTTAATTCTGCATGATAAAAAATCTAAAATTAAATTGTAAAAAATATCTAACCTAGTACAAATATCACAGGCACTTTTGGCGGCTCAAACTTGACATGTCCTCCGTTTTGCATTGGAAACGACGCGTTCGGCGGGGTGTCGGGCGGCACACCGAGACCCCGATGCTCGGCTTTGTGCCAGGCCTCGTCGCCTTCCTCGCCGAACTCCTGCGGGCCGTTGTTTTGCTCTGTTGGAAAATATCACCAATATTACACATTGTCTCTTTTATTTCATTCATTTCAAAACATAATTTATATATGAGCCGTTCATTTAGAAAGCAGCTTAAGTCCATTTATTATCATTTTGATACTTAAGATTTGGCGTTTTTACAAAATTAACGGCATGGCACCGTGCCGTAAGGCAAACTGCTGAAGCATCCCGTACGGTAATTAAACATCCGAAAAATGAAAATAATCAATCATTATTTTGAATAATTTCAATTAGATTAATTATTATAAATACATACTGTAAACTTATAAAAGCATTTTAAATTGGGAGACGAGCGTATTCTACAAACAACTTATGTGTATGCTTACAAGAAATTTCTTTAATTTTACAGTATGTATTTATAATAAATAATCTATTTGAAATTATTTAAAACAATTATTGATTATTTTCATTCCTCGAATTTTTAATTACGGTACGGAAAGTTCCAGCAATTTGCCTTAAGGCACGATGCCATGCACCCCACTACTTAATCATACAAATCGGTTATTCCATACTGTCGAGAATGCCGAGGACATTTGTCTTGGTACGGAATTCAAAAAAATGACACAAAATGTGTACACATTATTAAAATTTCTATAAAATATCTGATAATTTGATTTGCATATGTCTAATGAACATTTTTGACCGCCAAATGGCATTTTTTTATTTTATTTTATCGAAACTCCGTAACCGCTGGACCTGTCTTACCAAAAATTTGAACAGTTCTTTGTTCAGTCAATACAAATAAAATGTTTTTTGAATTATTCCAATGGGAGACTTCGTTCTCTCATAAACTGAATTACCATTTTTGGCTTTTTTTGCCCCGTATCTTTGAAACGGCTAGACTTGCCTTTACCAAAAACTAATCAGCACGTCTGCTTATCAATACGAATCGAATGTTTTTTAAATTTGATGTACATATGTCCAATGAACATTTTTGACCGCCAAATGGCATTTTAAACTTATTTTTATTGAGAGTTCATAACGGACAGATCTGCCTTCCCAAAAATTTAATCAGTTTTAGATTTAGTTTTATTTTATTTATAAGAAAGTGTTGTTTGAATTCTATATACAATGAAGTATTATAAAAACAACAAACCCCATTAGTTTGTCTATATTTTGTCAATACAATCAAAGTGGAAGATTTATACACTTTCTATAGAAGACGTAGTATAATCCATCCAAGTCTTTTTTGGTCTTTCGACTTATTGATTACGTTTCAAGTTTTTCAGATTCTTTTGGATTCTGGATTTTGTGTATAATTGTGAATAACACTACTGAGCTTATACAAAATGTTTAAATTTTTGCGAGGAGAGATAGAAAATGAATTATGTATTTCTTTTTTGACTTGCTTTTCAAAAAGTTTCAAGTAACATTCGATGAATTAAAGTAAATTTAATAAAAAGTATATATGTAAAGCAGGGCGAGGCACAAAGGTCCAATTTGACTTTGAGCAAATATAAACTATATTGTAAAAACCATAACAATTATATCACAACAAATAACACATATCAAACAAACAATTATCTGACTACGTTAAGTAAACTGCCTTCTACTTCATCATTGTAGAAATGTGCTTTTTTGATGTCTTTCAAAAGTTTGTTATCTAAACCGCAGGTGGCAAAAAGGTTTAAAGCCTTATTATAATTTTAAAGGTATTTTACAAAATAATTATATTTTTAACTAATGATAAAAAACTACCAACAGAAGAAAATACTTTTAATATGGATTTTTAAAAATTACCGTTTATCTCCCCCATTTCAAAGATTACCGTTTTCAAATCAAGGTTATAGCTGGTTATACATCTTTTTTTCCTCTACTTTCAAATATTGTTGTTAAACAATGCTTAACTTTAATGATTTTTGACACATCAGTGATGGGCCTTTTTAACCTCGAACCTTCATATATTACTATCTATTCTTCGATAAATTCTGGGAAATTATAACTGGGAAAATGTTATTTGACAAAATGTCCATTTGACCAAATTTAGGTTCTGCTAAATAAAAAATAATATAACCTAAAAAATATTTTATAGATACCAATGAGTTTATAATTATACAGATGAGATCTTTGAGAGCACCGTGTTTGAGAAAAATATGCCAAAAAGTGCATTTTCATATTAACATTTCAAAAAAGTTGATATTTTGAGTCTCAAGTAACACTTGCGGCCCGTTTACTAACGTTTTTGTATATAAATAAAACTACAAACAAAACTACTTACTACAATTTAATCATACTTAAATAATATTCACGTAAAACATCCTATTAAACGTAATTGAACATCATCTGTCAAAAACGTTTGACATTTCACATATTAGCCACCGTCCATTCTTTTATTTAAATTACGCTTCTACAAAAAATTTCAAACTAGCTGTAAGTGGAATTCTGTCTTAAGGCAATTAAGGCATCGTGCCTTAAGGCAAATTGCTGGAACTTCCCGTACCAAAAATTATTATTTTTTTAAAAAACGATCAACATTTTTGAAAATATTTTACTTCGAAAAAATAAGATTTTTGAGAAACTATAAATTCGACAAAAAATTACATTTTTTTGAAAAAAATTTAAATTTTTTTTTTTTTTTTTTTTTAAATATGTTTTCTTTATTTTGACATATTTTGGAAGATCTAAACTTTTTTTCAAAGCAATCGTACTGCTTTAACTGCATAAAGACGAAATATCAAAGCGCGTAAGCGCCGCGTCGCCGTCTAACGCGTAAACATTGTTACGGAACCCATAGGATTTAAATTTATTAGAAAAATGGAACAAAACCTGGAGATTTGAAATGAATGGCTTAATGTCAGTACATGTCACATTTACACTTAGCAGAGAGACTTGCCCACCAGTAAGAATAGGAAATACTCAAGTACCTCAAGAAGACCATGTGAAATATCTCGGCATATATCTCGATAGAAAACTTAATTGGCGAACTCATATAAAAAAAAGAGAACAGCTTGAGATAAAAACCAAAAAGCTTTACTGGTTACTAGGAACTAAATCCAAACTAAGCGCATACAATAAGCTACTTTTATATAAAACTTTATTCAAACCAATTTGGTGTTATGGTATACAATTGTGGGGCAGTGGTCATAAGACCAATATAGAAATTATACAGAAATTTCAAAACAATTTTTTGAAAATTGCCTTAGGAGCTCCAAAATATGTTCCCAACTGGTTAATTCATGCCGACACGAATACACCTACCATAAATGAAGTAATAACAAAAACAGCACAGAAGTATAGAAACAAGCTAATCAATCACCCAAATACATTAGCAAACTCATTGATAACAGAGAACTATCGTAGAAGGTTGAAAAGAAAAGCGCCACTGGATTTAAGCAATCAACTCTCCTGAGAAAAAATGGAAATAACAATCATTATTTATAAGAAATTATTTAATAAGTAAATATTGTAAATTTTATATCGAAAAAACAACTACTGAGTTGTTTTTTCCAACAAGTCAAAGTAGTATACAATGTACCTTTTCGGCGGACTATTGTAAATCCATTAAATTTATTGAATGTCCTATAGTGGACAGTTGTAAATAAAAGAGTTAATAAAAAAAAAATGGCATTTTTTTACTTTTTTTACTAGATCTCCGAAACCGCTAGACCTGCCTTCATGAAAATTTTATCAATTTTTCATCTTGTCATTACAAGTAAAATGTTTTTTGAATTATTAAAATCGGACGCTCCGTTCTCTTAAAAACTAACTTACCGTTTTCGGCACTTTTTGCCCCGTATCTTCGGAATGGCTAGACCTGCCTTCGCCAAAAACTAATCAGCACGTCTCCTTATCAATACGAATCGAATGTTTTTTGAATTATTCAAATCGGTTGATCCGTGTTCCCGAAATCGTCGACGAAAATTTGTATCCGCACATACATACACACACGCACACACACACACACATACACACACACACGTACATTCATTTTTTCTAAGGTATGCCAAAATATTCAGAAACCTTTGAAACGTCGAGAAATGCAAAAATTTTCATTTTCGATTTTTTTGCGATTACTATAACTTGCCCTACAGGAAGTTAATAAAAATGTAAAGTTTCTACGCGATTTTGAAATAATATCTCTGGATTGGCACGAATTTTTCAAGACTAAGACTGACCACATCGGTTTAGCCGTTTTCGAGTTTTACCGAATCATTTGATCGAGAGCTCCATTTTTATATATAAGATTATGTCTCAGTTAACAGTTATATGTCATAAAAAGTGTATATTTTTTAAATATCTTTTATAAACATTTTTATTTTAGCTCGTAATAATAACAGCATAATGAAGCAATTTGTAATTATTTAATATTATAGCAAAGTACAATTTATCAAGTAAAAAATATGAAATAAAGTTATAGCGCAATAAAAACTGTATCGGTGGCTTTTATGAGTACAATAAATATGACTTTTGGGAAGTAATTACTGTAATATTTTATTGCAATTCAATAAACTGTATATTTTAATTCGCTCACTGAGTGTGCGTGCAGTTGATAGAATACAATTTGATTATAAGTACAGTAGTATAATATATAATGTTATTACATTTACAAAAATACATTTTCTCTAAATTTATTCATTTTTTTCACGTTTTATATTGCTATTTGTAGGTTTTTTTTAAACAATTGGGTAAATATATGGACTTGACACAATTTGGAAACGACATTACCTTTGACGACATTTTCTCAAAAACGGCTGAACCGAATTGAAAGCAATTCGATGTAACTCGATAAGGACTAGCGTTTATCAGTTTTACGCGATTATCAGCTGAGCCGTCTTTTTGTAGTTAGCAGAAAGGTGTACAATTTTTCGATCATGTTTTAGTCCACAATTTTTGATCAATTTTAAACTAAGAAAAGTAGTAACGTAGTAAGCCGCGAACTTGAGCGATTCTAATCAGAATCTGTGCCGAATCATATGTACGGCCTTTGGTGTTTTGCAGGTAGCTACTGATTACAGTAGACGTCCACACTTAAATAAA